TGAAGAAAAGAATGAAGCTGGAGGAATAACTCTCCCAGACTTCAGACACCACCACAGAGCTATAATAATCAAAACAGGGTGGTACTGGCACGAAAACAGACATACGGATCAATGGAGCAGAACAGAGAGCTGCAAAATAAACCCACAGACCTATGGTCAATTAATCTTAAACGCTGGAGAGGATGTGGGGAAAAAGGGAACCCTCCTACATTTGTGGTGGGAATGCAGTTTGGTGCAGCCATTATGGAAAACAGTATGGAGATTCTTCAGAACAGCAAAAATAGACTTACCATATGATCCATCAATCCCACTCCTGGGCATGTATCAGAAGGAACACTATTTTGAAAAGATACATGCACCCCAATGTTCATAACAGCACTAACAGCCAAGACAGGGAAACAACCTAAATGTCCATTGACAAAGCACTGGATAAATAATCTGTGGTATATTTATACAATCCAGTACTACTCTGCCATAAACAATAAAATAATGCCATTTGCAGCAACATGGATGGATCTGGGGGTGGAAGGGCTGTATGGTGAAGTATGCCAGAAAGAGAAAGAAAAATACCATATGATAGCACTCGTATGTGGAATCTAAAAAAAAAGAAAAATGATGCTAATGAACTCATCTACAAAACAGAAATAGACTCTCAGACATAGTAAACAATCTTGTGGTTACTGAGGGGAAAGGGGATGGGAAAGGATAACTTGGGAGTTTGAGATTTGCAAATATTAACTACCATATACAAAACAGATAAAAAATAAATTTCTTCTGTATAGCACAGGGAACTATATTCAGTATCTTGTAATAACCTATAATGAAAAACAATATGAAAATGAGTATATGTATGCATATGTATGACTGAAACATTATATTGCACACCAGAAATTGACACATTGTAACTGAGTATAGTTCAAGCAAAAAAAAAATTCTGATAGGAATTTGGTTCTTGCACATTTTAGAATCCAGATTTTAATTTCACTGTCAATAACATTTTTAGAGAAAACATCCAAAGCTCAGCCCATAGTGTGTAATTATACATTTCAATTCTTATCCTGTGAACAAACTCCAATGATGTCTTTAGTAGCAAATGATACATGAAAAGCACTGATAAATGCATGTTTCCCTATTTCCCTACTCCCACTGTGAGAATTCTGAACACAGGGACCGTATCTGAAAATGTTTGCAGCTTCGCATCTTACTTAGTAGGTAAACATTTACTGAATAAAGGAATATTTTTCAAGTGATATTTAACTTCCCAAACAATCTATATGTTAAGATTATTCAAAGATAATCATGATTAAACAGAACATTTTTTTAGGAATTATCCAACATTCCCTTCAACCAGTATTTATTGAGGATCTACTATGACACTAGGAACGAGGGAAACAAAAATTAAAATGCTGTTCCCCTCCTCAGGGAGCTTCAGGTAGGACATGCAAGACATTAAACAGTGACAGAGTGCAGTGTGGTAAGTGCTAAACTGAAGAAATACACACAATCCTGAGGGCACAGAAGAGGGAGAGATTGTTTTCACCTGGTGTGGGATGGGTGGGGGTGAGGAGGCAAAGAAAGAGAGGAAGGCTTCATTTAGACTTTTAAAATACTTTAGAAAAGTTAGTAGAGAAAAGGAGGGAAAACACTAAATACTCTTAAGATAAGCATGACAACCTGGAAGAGTCTCAAGTAGGTACATAAGACTGGATTCCAGCTTCAAGGCAGGAGTGGTGAGGGGACAGCTAGGCAGGGACTGTCATTTTGCCCTAATAAGGCACACCTGGGAGATGGTGTGGCTGAGGTTCCAGGCCACCACAATAAATCGATTATCCCTATAAAGTGAATCACGTGAATTTTTTAGTTTCCCAGTGCATAGAAAAATTATGTTTACATTATACTGTGGTCTACTAAGCGTGCAACAGCATTATGCCTTAAAAAAAAACCACTACGCATACCTTATTTAAAAAACACTTCATTGCTAAAAAAAAATGCTAACCATCACCTGACCACACAGGGTTGTCACAAATCTTCAGTTTGTAAAAAACACAGTATCTGAAAAGTGCAAAAAAAAAAAAATGAGGTATGCCTGCACAACATGAAGGGCACCCCCTGGAGTCCCACAACTGGGGAGGGCT